GCCCAAAACAGCGTCTCACGTCGTGACTAGTCCTTGGTCACGTCGTGAGAGTCACCCGCTTCGATTCTAAAGACTCGTTCCCGACTCATACAACTCACTAAGGGACGGGTTTCGCCTGCTCACGTCGTGAGACCTCATGTCTCACGTCGTGAGGACGGTCTGAGGCCAAAACCAACGTTTTAACGTTCTTAATCCATTCAACCCTCAATTCCAACCCTTCCAAAAGTTTAAGGGGACCCTAATGGTCCATAAAAATGCTTACTTTATGGACATGTATGTACCATGCATTTCCCTCCATCCTTGTGGGTAAAAAGTAAAAGTATGGTCTCAAACTCACATACAAGCCTCTAATACTACACTAACTTCCAGATCTTAATGATATAAGACTCAAAAGACCATTTGAATCCATAAAGTTGCTAACTTTATGGATCTCCTTCACTCCAACAAGCTACGGTTTAAAGAAATGGGACCAAAAACCTAGATCTAACCATGAAATGAGATAAAGTTTGAGTCTTGGCACTTGCAAAGGGTCCAACAAGATGAGAGCTGATGAAGATGATGGTTACTTGTTACTCCCTTCACAATGCTTCTTCTTCTCTTATTTTCCTTCCTTTCCACAAAAAAAACACCAAGTATCTCAAAGGGAATCAAAATCTAGGGTTTCTAGAGGTTTAGAGGGTGAGAGAGGCTAAGGATAGGAAACCCTAGCCTCTCATTCTCTTAAATACTCGAAAATTAGGGTTTTGGGTCATTAAGTTGCTCTCACGTCGTGAGACTCCAAAATAAGAGTTGTAACATCCAAGATTGATCAGGTTGGTTTTTTTTTAACTTTTGGAATTTGAGGTTATGGCATTATTGGTCCCCGAGATTAGAATCTTAACCTTTTTTAGTACGCGGGGCGTAACCCTTATTACGTTGGGCGTAGAGGACTCCGGGAGCGTACGCTGGGCGTACATGGCTCAAACCAAAACCCTAGTGATTAGGGTTTGTGCACTATTTAAACCCTATTATGACCCCAAGACCTTCCCTCACCTCAACCTCCACTGTCATTTCGGCCCTCCCAGCTAACCCTAGCCATTTTTAACCTATTGAGCTTTGTAGTGAGATTTTGAGCTTCTTTGGTGGTGTAGAAGGTGGTGAAAGAAGAAAGCTTTGTCTCCAGGACTTTAGATCAAATATTTGCTACTCATTTGGCACCACATTGAGGTATAAAGCTCAAATATTTGTTTGTGTTTTCTTAAGTTCTTGGTTGAGGCTATATTTCCCCTTTTAAACCAAAAAGGTTAGATCTTGGTGAGTATGAGCTACTCCCAAGCCTTTTAGTTGCATTTCCAGTTAGGATCTAGTGTCTTAATGCTTAAAGGTGCAAGCTTTGAGATGGTTTGGTCCCCATTCTTGAGATAAGATGTAGGAAAGGGCTTATGGGACTTGATCTTTGTTTTTGAACTTCTTGTAGCCATGCAAGGGATTAAAGTTGGCAACTTTATAGCCCTGGAGGTCTTAATGGGTCCAGATCTGAGTTTTGGACGTAAAATCTTAATGTATTAAGTCTTTGAATGGATTGTGGTATAGCTGGCACGTACACCGTGCGTACTGCCTTTGGCTGAGGTACGTTGCGCGTACCAGTATGTACACCGGGCGTACGGTTCAGGCAGCCTTATCAAGTGTTGGGCTCAAATATTTGGGCCTTGTGTGGGTTTTTGGTTATTTGACCGTGGGCCTGAGGTTTTGGATCAGTTGGGTCCTGGAATTCATCTTTGGATCACTATTAGCTTAGTTGGGACTTTTGGGCCTTGTGGCCCATAATGGTTGTGGACTTTGGATGCTAGGCCCATTAGTGAAGGAATGACCTTTGGGCCACTATGGAGGAACTTGGACTTAGATTTATGGGCTTTTTAATTCGGGTGAATTATAATCCTAATTTAGCGTTATTTGTATTGTTATTCAGGGTGAGGTTTCAGACTATTAGGCGAGCAACTATTGTGTTCAGCAGATTGAGGTGAGTCTTCTCACTACACCCATGGGTCAAAGGCACCATGGCCGACCCATTAATTGTTATGAGATGTTAGTAATTGATTATGCTATGGTTTGCATTGACTTATGTGTTGACTTATGTGAAGACCATGGGAGCAGCCCATGACACTTGGCAATACCTTGGGGGTGGGGGGGGGGGGGAGCCCAAGGCACTGGGATACGTTTATGTGTTTTTGGGAAACTCACTAAGCCTGCGCTTACAGTTTTGTTGGGTGTTTCAGGTACCTCGATATCTAAGGGCAATGGCTCGGCTTGATGGCGCAACGTGCACTCTCCAGTATTTTCCCCACTAGTTGTTTTGGACATTGTGATCTTTCTGAATAATATGATTATGTATTGGAATCTTGGAAACAAATGTGATCGGAATTTCTAAATATTAAATGGGAATTTTTAATTATCAAATGAAAAATTTTACTTGAATTTTGGGTTGTAACATGGCTCAACAAGTCAACGACCTCTCACGATGTGACTACCAAAAACTCACGTTGTGAGATCCCTCCAAAAGGCAATAAATGAAGAATTTGAGTACTTTAGGGTTCATGATGTTACACTCGGGGCAATCCAGTCTTCGTGTTGTGGGTCCGGCATGCATGTATTGTATGTATATTGTGGTGTGTGGTATTTTGGGGGAACTCACTAAGCTTTGGTCTACAGTTATGAATTAAATGTTTTTCAGGTACCAATGATGATCGTGGGAAGATGAAGGCGTGAATGTACACATTCATTAGCGTTAATGGAGATTCTGCGTTTATTATATTACTCTGATTTTTAAACAAATGTACTTTGGAACAAATGGTTTTCTTAACTTGGATTTTATAAATGTGAAGTTTTACATTAATTAAAAAATATAATTTTTTGTTGTGAAAATGAGACGTTACAACCTTGCATTGAAATATGTTATATAGATAACTGCAAAAATATGTACATTGTAGAGCATGTTATCTTATAAGAAATTGTTTTGAAATAACCACTTTACATAACCAATTGTTTGGTTTATGGAGCCAAATTTGTAAACTTTTTTTTGTCTGGTTTCACTAGCAACTTTTTCCAACTTACCCTTTTTGCTCATGTTTAGATAAAATAAGTTCAAACATTCTAAATGAGTGTTTTATTGTTGTTTGTGTCGGTTATTCATGACAATCATAAAAAGAGGAATTGATGTATGTTAGACTATTTGTAAAAAAAGCTTCGATGTTGAAATTCCATTAGATATAAATTTTCCAAATTTATACAAATTAGTCAAACAAAGGACTGTTTTGCAGGACAAACCTAATATCAATGTGTTTTTTTTCTAACACCGTACTGATATATGTTATACAGATAACTGATGAGGATGATGTGAATCGTTTAAAAAAAATTATCCAACAAGTTTGGTGATCCGGTGGAGAAGGTACATATTGTTCAATACAATGTCACAAATTTGATCTGTTGTTGGGGGGACCAACCTAGTAGCGGAAGAGGGTCTGGTAGCATAAGAAGGAAAAATTATGATGAGAACAGATCCATCGAAAGAGGTAGCAACAATCAAGAAGGTATGTATACCTATACAAATGATCCTCACGATGTTGGTGGATATGTTGAATATAAAACACTAATACAACAAAAATTCAATCCAAAAATTGTTTATGACAAACCAATATACGTAAAAACAAATTCAGTATGTCGATCCCGTATATTATGTACCATATTAAACGTCGGTATTACCATATCATACACCAATAGTACCATATCCAACACGGATAGTACCAAATCAAACATCGGTTGTACCATATTAAACGTCGATAGTTACATGTCAAATGTTAGTAGAACGCCAAATTTAATATGTCGAACCAATAAATTATTAGAAATTTGGTTATGTTGATGATGTTACATGTAACCATGATGATAATGATGGTACCTGCCAAAATAAAGGTGACAATGATGATTTTATATAAATTGATGATCCAACAAATGAAGTTGCTTTAAGCAAACCACACACAAAAGAAGATGATATTGGAATTGAATGGTTGATTGTAGTCAACAATCACACTCAAAAGGCCATTCTTTGGTATGCTAGATATACCAGACTGTCTTGCTAGGAATATGCAGTTGGTTCATCGCACAACCAAAACCCGATTGATATAATAAATGTGCTACAAATTTACAACGGCAAAGAAGCTCTTCAACTCGCACTAGGAATAAAAAAGTAAATATAAGAGATTTCAATAAAAAACTGTCAGATCTAGCAAAAAAAGATTGCATGCAAAACGTGTAATAAAAATTGTTCATGATATATTTCAGCTGTAAAATTGAATTACTGTAGCATGTTCTAGATCTGCAAACTTGTGTACTAACACACACATGTTATTCAACATAATTAAACCCAAACCATCGCCAAACAAGCAAAAAAGTGTTAGAACATTTTGTTGTAAATGTGTTGGGTAATGATCATGATAGAGTTTACCGTGAAAACCATATCCAACAATATTTAACTTTAAGGTTCAACATCCATGTTTCCTACAAACAAGTAGGTCGTGCCAAACAATACACATTTAATTTTACGAGAGACACTAGGCAAATTAATTTTCCAAATAACCCATCTACTGTTACAACTTGGAAAAGTGTAATCCTAGTTATATATATTTTTAATATTTTCACCCAATTACTTTAGAGCTAAATTAGTAAGACTTTAGAAATTAAGAATGTGGTATGCCCATCGACAACTTTTGTTACCAAAAGCACAAATGAAAAAAATTTAGCCGAAATAGAATTCATATTAACAAACTATAAAGATTTTTGCATGCCACATCGATTTTCTCAAATGATGACAAGCAAAAATTACAAATTTTAGATATTTTATATAAAAAACATTAATAAAAATAATGTAAATGTTAAAAGTATAAACTAAAATCTCACCTAATAAAAACCACAAAAGCCACTATGCAAAAAAAGGAGAATCCCGGTTTACATACAAATAGATATATACAAGAAAATTAAGTCGACTTCTTATCTGTGTTTGTAAAACCCCAAATACAACACGCCCAATCAAATCGATTTCAAACCCTAAAATTCTCGTTCCTCTGATCAATCATTCAATTAGCCTTTTCCAATTTCACATCCCATCCTTTCTTCAAAGATATACAGAAATAAAGCACACATCTTCCGGATCTTTCATTGCAGCAGCTTGTTAATCGATATCGGAATCTTGGTCAAATCAAAGGAGGGTTTTTGATTTTGAAAAGGAAAATCAAAAGATTGGGCAAGGCTGGCGCGTGTCCAAGATATGTAATGGCGGATTCGCCAGGTGTCCGCCACGTTTTCTTGCTCGAATTCGTTATTGTTATTCTGCTTTCATCTTCGCTGTTCATCAAATTAGGGTTAGGGTTTGTTGAAGCTAGTTGTTGTTGTGATTAAAAGCATGCTGAGCGTGCTGAGAGTGCACCTCCCGTCCGATATTCCGATTGTGGGTTGCGAGCTTTCGCCCTACGTGCTCATCCGCCATCCCGATAAGACTGTCTCCACCGAAGATGTCCCTGAGTCTTCCCCAATTGACAATCATTTTCTGAGATATAAGTGGTTAGTCAGTTACTCTTCGTCGCTACTGTTTACTCATTTGTAATTAGCAATAAACACATCTTCTGGTTTTACAGGTATCGCATACAAAGTGATAAGAAAGTCGCGATCTGTAGTGTACATCCATCTGAACAAGCCACTTTACAGTGTTTGGGCTGCGTGAAAGCCAAAATCCCTGTAACCAAAAGCTACCACTGCACTCCAAAATGTTTCTCAGATGCATGGCAACACCATCGTGTCCTCCATGAACGTGCTGCTACTGCAGTTAATGAAAACGGAAATGAAGAAGAAGATATATACGGAAGATTCAATAACACAACATCTGGGGTGAATAACACAAATGGTACACTACCATTACCATTGTATCCTGCTACAATCACACAAAGAAATGGTGGTGAAACTTGGTTTGAAGTTGGACGTTCAAAAACATACACACCAACAGCAGATGACATTGGCCATGTTCTTAAGTTTGAATGTGTTGTTATAGATTCAGAAACAAAATCGCCTGTTGGACATGGGAACACGATACTGACATCGCGGGTGATTCCAGCTCCATCACCAAGTCCAAGAAGATTGATTTCAGTCATTGATGGAACAGGGCATTTGGATTCATCTTCTGGAACTTTTACTGTGCTTTCATATAACATTTTGTGTGATTCTTATGCAACCAGTGATGTTTATGGTTATTGCCCTTCGTGGGCCCTTTCTTGGCCTTATAGAAGACAAAATTTGTTAAGAGAAATTGTTGGGTACCTTGCGGATATTGTTTGTCTTCAAGAGGTTCAAAGTGATCATTTTGAAGAGTTTTTTGCCCCTGAGTTGGATAAACATGGATACCAGGCTCTTTTTAAGAAAAAGACATCTGAGGTTTGTTTTTATTGACTTTATTGACCATTCTTGTATCAAAAAATTGTCGGGAATTCTTGTTTATGAAATTTGAAATTATTATTTTAGGTTTATAATGGAAGCATTCAGACTATTGATGGATGTGCAACATTTTTCCGAAGAGACAGATTCTCACATGTTAAAAAATACGAAGTTGAATTTAATAAAGCTGCACAATCTTTAACTGATGCTTTGGTTCCTAATGCTCAAAAGAAAACAGCCTTGAATCGATTGGTCAAGGTAACTTCTATTTCTCTATATATATGTTTCCTCATGGGTAATTTGGTCATTTCTGATTAATAATGGGAATGTTCTGTTTTTAATAGGATAATATTGCACTGATTGTTGTTCTAGAAGCTAAGTTTAGCAACCAAGGTGTTGATAATCTTGGGAAGCGTCAACTTGTTTGTGTGGTAAGATTTATGGGCCTTTTTTTTGAAAAAGGTTTATGGGTTTCTTGTATTTTTAAATTTTTAAATTTCATTATTTCCCTTTTTTCTCCCTTGTTTTTGGAGTGTAGGCAAATACCCATGTGAATGTTCAGCATGATCTAAAGGATGTGAAACTGTGGCAGGTTTTTATCTTTTCCCATATCTTTTTTGTTGTTTGTTTTCGTTTTAGCTTTAACAAAAAAAGATTTTTTTTTTCTTCTTGTTAAAAAACTTAAAAACTATATAATTGTGAAAATTGAAGGTTCACACACTGTTAAAAGGATTGGAAAAGATAGCTGCAAGTGCAGATATTCCAATGTTAGTCTGTGGCGACTTCAATTCAGTTCCAGGAAGGTATGTTTTGTATTCTTATGTCATATATATATTTATAAAAATAAAAACTTTATTATGTTATATAATCTTTATTGAATTATTTATTATAAACTCACTTTCAGTGCCCCTCATGCTCTTCTTGCAATTGGAAAAGTTGATCCAATGCATCAAGATTTAGCAGTTGACCCTCTTGGAATCTTGCGACCTGCCACTAAACTCACTCACACTCTTCCCTTGGTAAACCAATTTTTTTTTTTTTTTTTTTTTCAAAAATTATAATATAAATGTCATGAGCTTTTATAAATTTTGAATGGATTTGGTTATATAATTTATGTAGGTGAGTGCATACTCATCTTTTGCTAGAATTGGTGGTAGTCTTGGTTATGAGCAACAAAAGAGGAGAGTTGACCCTAATACAAATGAACCCTTGTTCACTAATTGTACACGTGACTTCATTGGCACACTTGATTACATATTTTATTCAGGTATAACATTTATATATTTATATTTTTATATTTTATTTCAGTGTGGTGATTCAAATTGTTGTTTTTTATTTATAGCGGATAGTTTGAGTGTGGAATCATTATTGGAGCTTTTGGATGAGGATAGTTTGAGGAAAGATACAGCACTTCCTTCACCAGAATGGTCTTCAGATCATATTGCACTTTTGGCTGAGTTTAGGTGCAAGCCTAGAACAAGAAGATGATCCATTTTCATTTTAGGCAAGTTTTTATTTATTTATTTATTACGATTATTTTATTTAATGAAGGTGTGCATGTTAATGATTTGATGATGATGTTGATGTTGCAGATGATGGCGAAAGAGGCTTTTAAAGCAATGTAAGTGAAAAAAAACTGTTAAAGAAGTAGATCGTTAGTCTTTGTAGGGAATTTGTGCAATGTGCAATGATCTACTCTACACTATGTATCATGCTACCTTTTGGAAAAATCCATCATTTTTAGTTTTTTGTTTCTTTGTTTTCGATAGAAATTTAATTTTCACAAGTATAATTTAGCCATGACCCTTAAGTTGAAGGGCAAGCGTTTCCAATGGTGATGTATTTTCTTTGTGATAATGGTGGGTGGATGAAAGAGAACATACGAATAGAGACATTTTTTTTTGTTACTATTGAATACAAAGGTGCAAAAGATCTTTTCATTTATTGTTTGGTTTTTACTTGGTTGTTTGTTTGGAGTTATTAATAGTTTGTAAAATTCTTTTAAATTATCAAAACTTTATGGTTCTTTCTATACATATATATAGAAGCTAATGATCATGGAGAGTGATTTACTAAATAAAGAAGAAATAACATTGTAATGATTTTTTCGTGTTGGGTCCGTTGTACAAATGTTTTTACATGAAAACTATCTAAAAACATGTTATAGCAACTTATAAATGCTACGCTAGGGGAAACAAATGAATCAAATGTGGATCAAGATTGTTACATATGTTCCCCTAAAGTATACACAAGATAAAATCTTTAAATCTTTAAATACATGGGATGGGAAGATGATCATCTCTGAGCTTCAAAATTGTCTGTCCTTGTACCACTTTGAATCCTTCCTCTGGGATTGAAACAAACAATCCCCATTTTTGGGATTGAAGTAGTCGAACATGGTGACATGAATCTTGAGGGTGGTCTAATAAATAAATATTCACAAAGGTCAAGATTCTGAGGCTGATTGCTTTGAGTTGAGAAGTGGTTGCAATGCTTTCGCTACAATTGTCATATTTGGCCTAAAATCTGCCTCGTATTGTACACAAAGTGCTGCAACTGCTGCCATCTGAAATTAAATATATTTACTTTATTGTATGACTTGTATCCAAAATGAAAAAAACATAAAACAATATAAACGAACCTTAGCAACTGCCTTTTGGGGATAATCATTACCTAACCTGGGATCTACACATTGCTTTACTTTATCCTCACTCAATCTTGGAGTCGCCTGTTTACAAGCATATCTTTAGCAATATGAGTATTATTATGCATTCTTTTCCATTTTATTTCTACACAATGTTTCTCTTTTTTTTTTTTTTTTTTTTTTTTTTTTTTTTTTATATTATGGTGTTAAGAAAAGTAAGTTTTTGATGCTGAAAAGCTGAAACGTGTGTGTAAGTGTAACTGACCCAAGTAACAAGACTCTGTTGGCCTTTAGGCATTGTGTGATCCACTGGTTTTCTTCCTGTCAAAAGTTCCAAAAGAACAACCCCAAAGCTATACACATCACTCTTGTGTGTTATTTGCCCTGTCATTGCATATCTGAATAAGAAACACCAATGTCACATCATCAAAATCATATGATACATATAAACATATCCTGCAATTTTCCATTTCAAGTCATTTGGACCGAATGAACTGTCTAAATAAGTAAATATGAGTAAATGACCGTTTTACCCTTCTAAATGGATTAATGATGCAAGTGTTGACTTTCTTTTTTTGGAGTAATGACCATTTCACCCTTATGTTAGTGCGGAATGGACAAATCATGTCTGTCTGGAGCAAGTGTTATACTATACATAAAGACTGTTTCTTTTTTGGACCGAATGACAGTATAAATGACCATTTTACCCTTGTGTCTGAATGCATATAGTGCCTTCAATTAACCTATATCAAGAGATGCAAGTCAAAAAGAAACATGCACGGAGACTTACTCAGGAGCATGGTAGCCAAAAGTTCCCAAAACTCTTGTGGAATGCAATCGAGCTGTGTTGTCAGAAGACATATTGCACAAACTGAAATCGGATATTTTTGATTGAAAATCATCAAACACCAACACATTGCTTGACCTAATGTCACGATGAACTATTGGAGGCTGAACCTTTTCATGTAAATACTCAAGACCTCTTGCTGCTCCATAAGCAATTTTAACTCTCTGGTTCCAGTTCAAAACTATCCCACCTTCATTACCACCCTTTCTCCCTATATATAAAAACCATATCTTTATGTATCCTTAAATTCTAAAATCATACTATAAAGATTTATAAGAGTTACCATGTAATATTTCATGCAAACCACCCTTGTTTGCGTATTGATATAACAAGATTCGGTTGCGTTTTTCCAAACAATAACCACGCAATTCGGAGAAGTACTCGTTTTTTAGTCTTGAAATCATGGATAACTGCATGTATATGAAGAAATTGGGTGAAAAGATACTCTTTTTTTTTTTACTAAAAATATTGACATGCTAACCTTTTCCTTAAATTCAGATTCGGGTTCGGTTGAAGAGGTGGTGTCGAGTTTCTTTATGGCTACTTCTTCCCCATCTTCTAACTTTCCATAGAAAATCCGACTGTAAGAGCCTTCACCAATTAAAGATTTTGGACCAAAATTATCTGTCATTTTGATTATTTCATCGAATGATAAAGATGGGGCTTCAATTGGCAAATCTTTTTGAGGCCCAGCTCCATTGGTTCTTGGTGCTCTCATGCTGCCTAAGATGGAGAAACAAAAGACGCTAAACATAATCAGAACTACGTTTTATGGTGTAATTAGATGAAAGATATAACACCTCCATACCATGTATGGAAAGTTATTACCTCCACCACCATAAAGGGGTCCTCGAGGTGGTGCTGTCTGGCAATTGTTTGTGGTTGCACCATCATTTGTACTCTCGTTCTCTTTTTTCTTAAGACAGGATCCACAGCAAGGCATTCTTTAAATGGCGGACTACAGTAAATCCGATTTCTGTGTTCTATCTTTATGATGTCACCCAATCCAATTTCTGCATCCAATGATTTGCATCAATCCAAAAAAGGGTAAGACACAATTTTGATAAAACGAAAGGTGAAAATGATCCAGCCAATTTGAAAAAATCCCATCAGTTTCCAAAGCAAAGCTCATTGAGGCATTTACACGAACAAAACATACGCACAAACACTTAAACATGAAATGAAGAAACCGCATACCCCATAATCATAAATTTGAAGCCGATTACGATGGAAGAAAAGGAGAACCAATCCAACGAAGCTTGGTTGACGAAGGAAGAGAAAGAAAGCAGAAAAAGTTTGATCCAATTCTTTTCCTGTTTCTCTCTCTCCTCACTCTCGTCGGATTGCGAAAGACGAAAAATTGAATTCAGAGGTTTGTATCTGGTTCTCATGGGAATCATTTTCTGGTTCGAGTGCTTCCATCAACCGCTAAAAACGGGCGCGTACGTGTAATTCAAGTTCTTGTTATTCGGCTCCATTGCTTGTACCCGTTTTGTTATTCGGATCCTGCATTTTTATCACATATATATTTTAATCGCAAAAAAGGTGCAATAATATTAGGTTCGATTGTTAAAAAGGAATATTGTCTAAAGCATGTGTCCTTTTAGAAAATATCGAAAGGTACCACTGTGCGACTCTAATGAGTTTTGTGTTTTAAATCCAATGATATATATTTTTAAATTGGGATAATGACTTAAAAGGGTAATATATTTTTCGATTTGTACAAATTTGGTCACTGATTTTTTTTTTCGTCCACATTTACCCCTTCAACTTGTTAAACTGTACACATTCAGTCCTTATGACCGGTTACTCCAGGTTAGCCGGGAAAAATGACTTAATAGGGTAATATATTTCTCATTTTGTACACATTTAGTCCTTAATATTTTTTTTCTTCAAAATAAGTCATTTTTGTTTTTGTACTCATTCAGTACTTATGAATGATTTCTTTAGGTTTTTCTCACGACATCTTATATGAGACAATCATTGATGAAGTGTGTTGGGCTGTTGATGTTTGTGTGTAACGTCTCATTTTCACAACCAAAAATTTTCATTTTAAATAAGACAAAAGTCTCTAATTATAAATCCATTATTAAAAAAAACGTTTATTCCAAAATACATTTATCGAAAATCAGAGTAATATAAGAAACGCGAAATCCTCAATATTGTTGATGAATGTGTACAATCATGCCTTCGCCTTCCCACGATCAACGATAGATACTGAAAACATAAACAATTGGGTAAACACAAAGTTTAGTGAATTTTCCCCAAAATACTCGATACAACAAACGTAGTATCATGCATAACGAGCCCACACTCATCAGACTGGAATACCTTGTCCCAATCAATTATCGGACTGGAATGCCATCATGCAACATGTCCAATCAGTCATCAGACTGGAATACCTATGGTTTGTCGGCATGCCGCCTTAACCCAACCGCTCTTCTCGAGCCTCCGTGCCTACACCTTACAGCCGGCCCGCACCAGGTTTCTTGGCCTACAACATATAGCAAGACCACCTCAACCTATCACACCACTATATGGCTATCTCACGTAAGATGTCGTGAGAAAAACTTAAAGAAATCATTCATAAGTACTAAATGAGTACAAAAACAAAAATGACTTATTTTACAACAAAAAAAAATATTAAGGACTAAATGTATACAAAAATATTAAAGACTAAATGTGCACAAAGTGAGAAATATATTACCCTATTAAGTCATTTTTACCGGCTAACCTGGAGTAGCCGGTCATAAGGACTAAATGTGTACAGTTTAACAAGTTGAAGGTGTAAATGTGGACGAAAATAAAAGTCAGTGACTTTAATGTGTACAAATCAAAAAATACATTACCCTTTTAAGTCATTATCCCTTTTAAATTTAAGTTGTCATCTTATTTATGAGTTGTTTCATAGTTGATAATTGGTTATAGCTGACTGAGTTAGAAGTTCCGATTTAGTTAACTCCTGACTAGAACTTGCTGTTTGATTTTACATCTGACTAACTGTGCAAAATGACTATAATACACTCAAACAACATTTTTAACAATAGTACAAGAAAATAGTTCATTGATCTAATAATATAACCAAACATTTTATCCAAAACAACACTTGACAAAGCATCAGTGACTTCAAATCTTTAATAAAAAACCACTTGATATTATTCTTAAATGCATACTCACATGAATAACAATAACAAAATAGAGAATTCATCCTAAACCATCCACAAACTACAACTTTGTAAGGTCTGACCGTACCGATCAAAGAATAAGATGCAGTATAACTAGGTATCAAACGTACTCACCAGACCGAGTCAACCAAAAAGGTCTGACCAGACTAGGTCAACAAGAAATCAAACAGAGCCTTAGAAAGATAAATATAAAAATATGTCGCTATACAGTTACATTGTTTCAATTTAGGTTATACTTCCACACACATTCATATGATATGCGCCCTACAAACATATATAAAATTACTATTTTGTATTCATTTAGCAACATCTTTAATTATTGTGATCATATATATTTTGGTTTAACTATTCACTAACATACTATACGTGATATAAACCTATCTTTAATTACAAAAATATGCTTTAGCTATTTTTTAAGAATCTCCATAGGTTCACGAGTCGTTGGTTTATTTTAGCGATTTTCTATTTATGGATCGAGTCGTTGATTTATTTCCCGCCCTATTAAGGACATACTCAATAGGGGTTGAATAAGAATTCAATGAGAAGAGACATGATGACATGGCAAATAATATAGGAGAGAAATGATGAGATGATAAAAAGAGTTTAGTAGAAATACGATGGACCTTATAACTTTTATTAAGTAAAAAAACAGTTGTTATTATTTCTCCATTCTACTTGACACTTCATTGAACTCTAAATGAACTGTCGATGCTTTAAATACTAATGGTTTTCTCTCTCTCTCTCTCTCTCTCTCTCACGTTTCTTTATTAAATAACCGTCAAAGGCCTCAACGAAAAATTAAAACACTCGTCTGAAAAAATATCAAAGCGAAATTTTCACCGAGGATCCTGTCTAAAACTTTGCTGGAAAGATAACCTCCCTCACTTCACCCTCCTTATCTCTCTTTCTATCTCCATTCTCTCTTTGGTTGGAATGAAAATGCAGAAGATGAATAGCTTTTGAAATCTTTAATTGGGGCTTTCAACCCTATCCCTCATAATTTAACATTTAAATCCTTTTGGCTAGATTGATGTCAAGAATTAAATAATCTCCGATTTCTTAAATTAGTTAACCTTTATACTTTATAATTATTTTATTAATTGTAATATTCTAATATTTAAATAACACTATTCAGTATTCACTAGTATTTATAGTATTTTTTAGAATTATACTATTTTAAATATTTAAATTAACATTTAAAAATCATTCATTATTCTCCTATGACAAATCTAAAGAGACTTTCACATTGTAAAGTCTCCAAGTTAACTTCATTGATGCAAGTTTTACATTATATGGTCAAGACTTCTAGCCGCAGCTTATGAGTGTTAACAGAGTACATGTTTCCATGAGAGAACAAAACACAACTTATGAGTGTTAACAGAGTACATGTTTGTATGGATACATCTTGCAATACCATATTTAGTGAAGTCAAAGTGTTATATATCTTACTAAAGGTTATATGTTTCATGAGAGAACAAAACACATTCACGTGAGATATCATTACATCATAGTTGTTAAGGTATGCAAGATCAATACTCATGGCAATCATGTTGATATGATGACAAAGCCAGTTCTGACATCCAAGTTTGAACTCTTCTCAAGCTTGGTTGGTATTAAAGATTATCCCTTGTTTAGTCATACAAATTCATATGTAGGTTTTCCTTGTTTGTTTCTTTCTCCTTTATATAAGGCATGTTTCCATATATATGGTCGTTATTAGTTAATGACATATGTTGAGAACTCAAGTTATTAGTTTATAAATAGGATTATTCTTTTCATTCCTAAGCATCACAAATTATCCTTCTCTCTATCGATTTTGTAATCTCACCTACACATCAATGTTAATAACATGTAGTTGAGTGTCCTGTGGTTTTTTTTCCTGAAAGGGTCCCACCAAAATTCTTTGTGTTTGATTGCTCTACAATTACATCTATTTACAACATATGCCAGGTAACAGGTCAACAGAATACGTTTAATTGCGATTTGCGAGTCGACCCACCAATACATTTTCGTCCTTTTTCCTTTGAAAATAATTAATAATTAAGTATTTTGTATGATTATAAAAACCCAATTTGAGATAAATAGGTAGACATATTAGTAAAACTGCTGACCATATATTTGTAAGTCAAAGTCATTCACAAGCAACCTTGGTGTCAAAACTGCTAAGATAAATAGCGAATGCCAGAAACGCCGATATAGGATATTGATAAGCCACGGTATAGTAATCAATATAAACTTTCCCAAGCTGGAGAATAATGTTTTCATGTTCCTCCACTCCAACTTCGTTATCCAAACAAGCAACCAGTTGAAAGTTGTTAACTGAAGCTAACCTCACCCGTTCATTAAATTTTAAACACCATAACTTCTGTTCTGGGGGCCACCTAGGCGCCTTGTTCTTCAACACTAGCTTCACATCCTTTTGACTCTCTAATGACTGCGATTGGGAATTGTCGTTTAATTTGAAAAGGAGTGGTGATGACAAAGAATTTGCATTGATTGTATTTGTATTTATCTCACTCCGGATTTGTCTAGGACCCCTGTGTCGTAGAACCCCATGTTTTTGTCAGTATTTGGTTTTTTTCTTGCGATTAAATCAAAATTCTTGTGAAATTGAATAAAAGATGGGTACTATATTTGGTAATTATAAGGCCTATTTGGTATGACAATAATATTACGTATGAACAAACGCAATATTGCAATAGGTCATCATTGCATTTTGTTATCATGTTGGCTTGAAGGAATGAAATGAGTCATTCAAACGTGTTGTTTAGTATATACAATTTACAGACTTAAATGGATTTAAGTTGATAAGTAAGAAAAAAATGTTATTTTATAGAAATATATATACCCGCTAAAGAAATTAAATATAAACATATATCATGTCGTTTGAAATATGTAGTTTATGTATATTAATAGTTAAGAAAGATTATTTATCGCCTTAAAAAAATTGTCCAGAAAAACTCTTAGATAAAGTTTAGTGCTTTTTTTATAAAAAATGTACAATCAAAGTTTGAAAATTTAATCTCTCTTATGCTACGTTTTTTTTTATTATTATTTTTTTTTTCAGTTGAGTGTTACTATACCTGATACCCAAGGAATTTACTTGATAAGAAATACTGCAAACTGGATAACTGACAGAAGGGACTTTGGGTAATACTCGTTTACTTACCATAGATGAAGGACATTTTGTTGCAGCATCTGCATTTAGAGGGTCTATATCATAAACTCTGAATTTGGTCCCAAGAAAATTTGATCTGTCATAGAAACAAAAATACAACTCTTAATTCAAGAATACATATAATATTATATATTATATATTCATTCATAGAGAACTAACTTGCCTCAATATTCCTATGCAACTGCTGCTCCCTTTTAACATATCCTTATAATCTTGATAAATGATATTATCTGTGCAAGTAGCACGTCTAACCCTCTTTGCAGCAAGAAGGAATTTCTCCATCATAATATGGAGCTGCCAAAAACTCAAATAAACACTCAGATCAGAATCAGATGGTTTTTTACTTTTACCTCACAAAATAACTCATTCTTGTGAATTGTAAATCATCACATTTCGTCATATGGAGGCAGAAGTAAAATATTTGATTAGCCCTATCCGTCAGTATAAAGCATTCTGTTGGAGAGCCCACTGAACCAGGCTGCAAACATAGACAAATTTCTGAGACTGTAAAATCAATCACAAATGAACATAAATTCATCTTCCACTAGCTATGAGTTCATCCTGTGGTATTAACTACTAAGTATTGACAATCAAAGATGCAAATAAAAGCAATTATTAACTAAAAACTGATAATTAGTTGAAATTGAATGGAAGATAGATTCTTTAAAACCTGCTTTAATGAGTCGGGGAAAGTCAGCTTGCCGGAAAGTTGTGGACATTTTACTATTTCCTTCATGATTTTTCTCCAACTCCGACAAACACCGGCATAAGAAACCACGTCCTTTCGAGGAGGCCAATTGGATTCCGCCTCGATCCTCATCAATACGTCCGTTAACAAATCCGGCGGCATCTTAGCCCAACAATTCTGTTTCGAATCATCCATAGTTTCCAATTCCATAGATCTGCTGTAATAAACCTCAACCTGAAGCATAGACATTAATAGTTTCCATCAGTACGCCATTTCCAAAACCACAAACAAAATCACATTTTGATCATTAATTATTCATCACTGAGTATACGCAAACATCACCAGCTATATCAACATTCAGAAGAGTAAACAGCTACAGGTGCACCAAAATCTATCGAAATCCTATAAGTCACCAATGTAGAAAGTAAACAGGTGCATGGGAGATGGGACGCTATCGGTTTAGACGGAATTTGGTATAACATAGGGATAACGTTCTACTGCAATTGATTAATAGAAAGGTAAAGGACGTAAAATTAGGGTTTTGATGGAGGAGATGAATTAGTTATGTTTTAGATCGGATCACTTGGTTAAAGCTGAGCAAAAAATCATCTTATTTTGTGTTTTAAAGATTTTGTTCTTTCTTTCCGAATCCTCCCAAATCGGAAGGAAAGTTAGGAGGAAAAGTGAGCATTCTATTTCCCTCTACTTCCTTCCTTTAATGAAAATCAGGAACACCAATTTTTTTTATTTTCTTCTCATTTCCACCCATTTCCTTTTCTTTCTCTCGTTAAGTTGAACTTGGAAACCGGGTGTTAAGCTTTTAGTTTTGCTTTAGCTACAGAAAATCAGTCAATAACTTTCGAAAACCAGTTTATCTCTTTGAATCGGTAAACACGAGTTAAATAGTAATGATAAGATATAATAATAATAAGGGTGGCAGTATGTGTACCAGAACATACATGTTCACCCCCTCTCGTAAAATGTCAAAACATACATACTCACCCACTAAGGTAGGTGTAAAATAAACAGCTGGGGCCAAACGATTGGAAGAATAAACCCCTTTTGATAGATATATTTTTAGATCCAAACAATTTTTTTAACTGAATGGGTCTAAAAGAATGTTTGATTTGCACAAAAAAACGGGTTTTTCCTAGAAATCTCTAAAACCATATCTTTCTGGCTGAATGATTATTTTCATCATTCAACACAGTTAGTCAGATATACAATCAAACAACATGATTTCTTTTCTAGTAATTTTTCCCAGACAACACTTTCCCAGCCGAGCCCTAAGCCTAATAATAATATTTTGTCTTATTTTCAAGAGAATTTACATAAACGACCCCTCTAATATAGTGAAAACTGCATAAAAAGTCCAAGTTTCTAAAAACAAACATCATCATCATCATCATCAGTTCTAATGGTTTCATTTTAGACATTTGGTCCCTCTATCTTTAATTTAAGACAAAACTGCAAAATGGTCCATGTGGTTTGCATTTTTTTCAGGAAACAAGTCCAAACCTTGAAAAAAAATTGGATAGATGATCCTTTTAAGCATCTTTCGTTGTGGTTTTGGTCCATTTCAAAAATGAAATGACTAACTTGCTCTTATGCAATTTTTTTTCATTTTCTTTTTATTACACATTTAAAAAGAAAAGCTAAAAGAAAATACACCCCTAACCCACACTTTTCCACATACCCACCAACACCCTCTCTTTCTCTATCTTTCTCTAACTCCTTTCACTCTAGCCGGAAAAACAAGAAACAACAACCATTGCCTTCGTGTTCTGCCTCACCCGGGTTCACTTATGGCGACCATTGCAGACGAGATCCATACTAGCCGACTCCCTCAAACCTCTTGACGAGAACCACCTAAAACCTTGCCGGAAAACAAGTCCACAACCACCCACCACTGTGTTCAACCACATACCACTGTGTTAATCCATGTAACATCTGGATTTTCAGGTATGTTATTTTTAATTATTTATTTTTGAGAATCATTGATCTACTCGACGAGTTGGTGCTATGACTCGTCGAGTAGAAGCGGGGTGGCCACGCGAGTTTAATGAACTACTCGACGAGTCCAAGAGTAGACTCGCCGAGTAGGCGCTGTAAGTGGAAACCCTAGATCCCCGGGTTTGGGACCTATTTAAAGGCACTTATAGCCTCATTTGCGGCCACACCCCTCTGAGAAGAAACCCTAAACGCCCCTTGAGCTTGTGAGAGAGTCTTGAGCCTTACTTGAGATTGTGAGTGCATTTTGGTGTGATTTTGCAAAGGAAAAGAAGGGTTCCAGCAAGAAGGACCAAAGGAGGTTGTCATTCTGAGGTCTTGGAGCAAGGAGCTTCACTTTGAGGTAACAAATCGACCCTCTCTTTCTGTATGGTGTAGATTGCTTGAATCTAGGGTTTCTTGACCCTTGTCTTCAAAGGATTTTGGAGTATTTGAAGTCCCTTTGTGGAATAAGCATTAGATCTGGACCTTAAGAGGTCCAGAGAGTCCCAACCTTCCAGCTTTATGCAATCCCTTTGGAGTTGTGGACCTTGGTTGCCATTTTAGGAGCTATTTCACCAAAAGAAGCCCTAGGAGTGTTGCATGAGCGTAAAGGTTGGACCTTTACGTAATTATTGGGTACTAGAAGGTCAGATCTATAGGTTAGAGAAGCAGATCTGACCTCAGAAGGTCATTTGAGTAATCTCATGGACGAAACTCGCCGAGTCCATGAGCAGACTCGACGAGTCGGGTCGTGTTGCACCACGATTCGTGATCAGTGGTAGTCGTTGAGAAAAAGGTTAACTCGACGAGTCGAGTGATGCCTTAAGAGGATTCAGAGGACACGTATGAACTCGCCGAGTCACCCGAGTGCACTCGACGAGTCTGGTCAAAGTTGGACCGTTGGCTGGGGTTGACTTTTAGGGTTTGGTCAACATTTGGACTTTGGACCATTGGAAGGGTAAAATGGTCTTTTCCCCCTCTGAGAGAATATAGGGAGGGATTAGTTTAGCCTTTGGGAGTCGTATTAATTAGAGATAATTACTTTATGTGATTAGGCGGAGGCTAGATCAGATATTCGAGTCCGAGACTTTTCGAGATTACCGGAGGTGAGTCTTCTCACTATACATTACCTAGAGTGGTATTTATGTGCAGACCGGAGGGTCTTATGTGTTATGTTTGAGTTTATGTGCATTGTGTTGTATGTATGCTATATGTTATATAGACCGGACCGGAGGGTCCAACGATTCAGACCGGACCGGAGGGTCCAACGATTTAGACCGGACCGGAGGGTCCAACGAGCTACGAGACTGGAGGGTCCCGCTGAGACACATTGACCAGAGGGTCATAGCGAGTTATAGCCTCGAGTGGCTTATGTGTTAGATGTGGTATTTTGGGGGAACTCACTAAGCGTTTATGCTTACCGTGTTATGTGATATGTGTTTCAGGTACCAGCGAGGATCGCGGGAAGGCGCCGGCATTATTTGTACACACTGGCAGAGAATTATGTTTGAGATTCTGGGATATGTTTTATTATGATAACATTTGACACATGAGATTTTGAGAATATTATATGAGTTTTATCATGTATGAAAAATGAAAAATTGTTTTAAAAATTTACGTCGTTACAAGTTGGTATCAGAGCCTTGGTTTGAGGGATTCGGATGCACCTTCGGGCGTATCTGAAAACTGAGGATTTGAGAAATTTTGCATAAAAGAAACAATTTTCTAAAAAGAGAAAAAGATTTTTGAGAAACGCAGAACGGAGCAGTGTGTACAAGCAGCCAACGCCCGAACGGTGATTTCCCAAAATACCCTTACATTATGTGTTATGAGATATTATGTGAGATGCTATGCTTGCTAGAGTAGGCTAGGTATTCATAGTTAGGACTAGAGTGGGCCTGATTTGTGATGCCTTAGCCTAGGAGTTACTGCTACTATGAGATACTTCGTGAGTGAGTAGGTAGCAGCGAGGAGCCTATGATTGGTCTACTGGAGAGTAGCCTGAGTTTAGTGAGATATAGAGTACTTGTGATCTGGGATCCTAGGAGGAGGACTTGTGGTGAATACCGATGCGTTGTGGAAGGTAGTATAAGGGCCCGTACTACTGGAAACACCGGATCGGTGAGCAGTCCAAGTAAGAATCCTTAGGGGACTAAAGAACAAGTAGGGTTGAGTATCGAGTGCGAGTATACTCGAGCGAGTCTCTGACTTCTTTTGTGTTGTATTTCAGAGACATCATGGTTGGGACGCGCCACCACCCAGGAGGCAGTGGTACCAGTGGTACCAGTGATGAGGAGATCCGTAGGTTGATTCACGAGGAGGTGGCCGCAGCCATTCGAGCTGAGATTCCTGAGATGTTTGGGTCTATCAAGACCACTTTGATTGAGACGTTTGACGAGCGGTATGCTTCTCTTACCGAGGCTGCTGTTGCTGCAGCCGTCGCCGCTGCCAGTCCACATCGGGGGTGACTCGTTGCTGTACCGAGAGTTCAGCAACACGAAGCCACCAGAGTTTGATGGGACTCAGGATCCGATAGCCACGATGAGGTGGATCTCTGACATTGAGGGATGCTTCTACACCTGTTCTTGTCCGGAGCATCTGAGAGTACGGTTCACGCTGAACTAGCTTCGCTTGGGAGCGAAGGACTGGTGGAAGTTTGTAACGACAGACTTCACTCCTGCAGAGATTACAGCAGTGACCTGGGAGAGGTTCACCACCATGTTCCGAGATGAGTATGTTCCCCCGGTGGAGAGGGAACGGTTGGCGCAGGAGTTCTTGTCCCTCAAGCAGGGGACGGAGTCCGTGACTGTGATTACACGGATGTTTCATGAGAGGGCGTTGTTTTGCCCTGAGCACGTGTCTACCGAGCAGGCACGTATGAGCCGATATCTGAGCATACTGAGGAGGGACATTCGTGAGTTCGTGGAGAACTCGACATACCTGACATTTGCCGAGCTCCAGGCGAATGCCCGGAAGAGGGAGATTGAGCTAGAGACTCAGGCCAGGGAGGAGGCCGAGTCTCAGAGGAGGGATAGGCTGCCGGTACAATCTCAGCAGGCAGCCAAACGGGCAAAGCCTGCTGATTCGAGATCTGGAGGTCCGAAGGGCCGCACTTGCGGGAAGTGCGGCAAGAGCCATGATGGGGTGTGCAGAGCAGGTGTGTGCTACAAGTGTGGGAAGGAGGGGCATATCGCGAGGGATTGCCCCAAGGGATTTTCGGTTTGCTTTCATTGCAACCAGATAGGCCATCAGAAGGCCGAGTGCCCACAGCTACTACAGGGATCAGCACAGGGATCTGCACCTGCTGCTAGAGCTACCGAGGTCCGGCCAGCAAAGGCCGAGGCACCGAAGGCTCGCGGGAGAGCCTTTCAGTTGACAGCGTAGGAGGTCCGCGCAGCGCCCGATGTCGTGGCTGGTATGTATTCTTTTATTTATTTATACTGAGTTTGAGATATTGTGCTTATTATGTGGTATGCATAGGTACTTTTCTTGTGAGTTCTGTATCTGCTTTGGTGTTATTTGACTCGGGTGCGAGTCGATCCTTCGTGTCATTAGCGTTTAGCCAGCACATCAGTACCCAACAAGAGACGTTGA